AGACGTAGACAATTTGACGAACCACGTAAAACTAATGTGTTTGGATTTGTGCCATTGTTTTGATTTGTTTGGCCTTTATCTCAATGTTTGTTTGATTTGGTTCTCGAAGCACGACCGTTTAGTTGTCCACGTCATGCACAACAATTAGTATCAGAGCTCTAGATTCTAGATCTAGGGTTTTGTCTTGGTTGGAGGAGTAGATCAATTTGGAAGTTCGTCTAGGGCTTCGTTTGGTAAGAAAGGTGGGATCTTTTTGGTAAAGACTCTATCTTTTTCAGTTTGGATCTATTCTTCGTTTGTTCCATATTGGTTTGTTGGCGCTTGGACTATTTGGAGGAGTAGATCACTTTGGAGACTCTTCAAGGACTTTGTTTGAAGATAAAGGTAGGATTTTTCCTATTTGTGGATCTCGTTGCCGTCGTGCGGGGTGAGATCGTTTGGAGACTCTTGTTAGGGTTTTATTTGGAGGTAAAATTCTCTCCTTTATCAGTTTGGATCTATTCTTCATTTGTTGGTGCTTTGAGATAGTTGGTCAAGACAGAAGGATTTGAGGCTGAGTTATTTGTTTGTTGATACGGTGCATTGGATTATTGAGAAGTGCCCTTGACCTGCATATTGAAATCCTTTGAGCACGTTGGTATGAGCAAGGACACCGAGATGGAGTTTGACACTTCTATTCGATGATTGGGGGGTCTTCTATTTGGTGTTCATTCAGGCATTTAGGGGCCTTCTAAGGAGGCATCATTGGAAGGTAAATTGGTATTTTGGTTTCCTATGTTAGGGATTGTACTAGGTATTTGTGGGTTGCAACCAAGTCCCGTTGGTTTTAAAGTCCTAGTTGTTGGCCTTCTTGTTTTGATGATGATTTACAAACAATTTACTTCTAATGTTATTTGTTTAGTGTTTGTGTATTTCTATTTATTGTAGACAAACAATGTATTGGAGGTTGGATGGATTGCGCTTCAACGATCAAATCCAATGGAGGTTGGTGGAATTGTGAAGTGAAGCCTATGCAATTCAAATTGAAGATCCAAGTTCTAGCTTCATCCGCGAGTTCACCAAGTCAAGCTTATTGAAGATCAAGATCAAGCTTGGGTAACATTAATTTAGATTTATATTATGTGTGTTGGTACTTTAAGCTCAATCATATATACACACACGTATTTGGTTTCTATGTGTGTATATATATATATATATATATATATATATACATAAAAAAAAAAAATGTGTGTGTATATAGTATTCTCAGTTTTTGGACTTAACAATAATCATATACATCTTTTACTAAGTCTATATAATCATTTTGTAATGTTTCAAAACATGGTTAGGCTAAAATGTCAAAACTCATATGTTTACATTTTCATGTTTTGGGCTATTTTACAAAATGATGATATTTTTTATTTGGGAGGTCCTTTTTGAAAACCAGTTTTTATAGCATGTGTATTATCATGTCTACAACCATTTTCCAAAGTTTTATATTTTTCTGAATTTATTTGCTAGTTTTAAAGGCAGTTTAAAAATCATCATTTCATTTTCAAACCTGGATATCTGAAATATCAGTTCGCGGTCGACCGCCCTTGGCGCTACGGTCGACCGCCGATAGTCCAGAGACTGTGCTCTGTTTTTCAACAGCTCACGGTCGATCGCCCTTGGCGCTGCGGTCGACCGCTAATTTTCCAGAGACTTGAGATTATTTTTCAGAACTTCCCACGGTCGACCGTATATGGCTCTGCGGTCGACCGTGACTTTTTCAACTTGTTTCCTAACGGC